CAGACATTAGATAATAATCAAAGGGCAGTCTTTAAAAGGATAAAGTTACACTATTATGATGTACTCAAAGGACATCAAGATGAACCTTTAAGGATAATCATTATGGGAACTACTAGGAATAGTAAGACATATCTTATAGAAGCAATCTGAAGTAGACTTTGAGAAATAAAAGGAAGACCTAAATTATTTATGGCTGTACTTGCACTGATATAAGTTGTGGTCTTTAATATTAACAGAATAATAATTCATTCAGGATTGTCAATTTTGATAGTTAATGATTCAAAATATCTTGATATAAACAGTGAATGGCTGAAGCAACTGCAAGATAGATTAAAAGATATAAGGTATATAATAATTGATGAGAAGAGTATGATTGGATGTCAAATGTTTGCTTTAATTGATATGCGACTTTGGCAAGCTTTTCCTAAATATAATAATAAACTATTTGGCAGAAGTCAATCATTATGTTTGATAACTTCAGTCAACTTCTATCAGTTCTTGATTTTTTTATGTATGCTGATATCAAATAAGATTCGCTATTTAATAATGGTATTGCAGCATACAAGCAGTTTAAAGAGGCATATAAGCTTAAAATCGTATAATATCAATTAGAAAATTCTAGAAAGCAATGAGATTTTAGGAACATTCTCTTAAGACTGCATAATGAAGAGTATACTATAAAAGATTGAAAACTTTATTACAAAAATAGAAGACAAGCTTAGTATAATAAAATGTAATAGGTTTTCTAACACTTTGTTTATTTTAACAAAGTGGTTTAAAGTCAACATAGTAAATATAGATTGACTTTAATCTTTAAATATTCCTATTGCTAAAATTCAAGCTGTATATATTGGTGAAAAAAAAGCAAAAAATTTCAATTTAGATATAGCTTACAGTTTCGAAGCATATATATTACTGGTGAGAGAAGCATATATCATGTTAATAGTAAACTTGCAAATGAAAATCAGACTAGTTAATAGTTTAATAGGAACTGTCTAAAATATAATATTATAAGAAGATCAAGGACTACCTTCTCTTTCTATAGCAATTTTGATCTCTTTTGATAATTATAAAAATTCTATCATTACTAGCTTATAAGGTAAAAGAAGTGTACCAATTATACCAATAAAGTATATCTGAAATAGTAAATCTGGAGCTTCTTGTTTGCATTAACAAATTCCTGTTCACCTTACGTGAGCAATTACAGTACATAAAAGTCAGGATTTCATATTACGAAATGCTATAATAGATCTCAATGATAAAGAGTTTACTGCAGATCTTTCTTTTATTGCAGTATCTCAGGTATGTGCATTTGAAGATATTCTCTTTAAATCATTTAGTTTTGAGAGACTTTAATATATTAAAGATTGCAAAAGATTACAAGAAAGATTAGACAAAGAAAAATGTTTGGTTTTTATGATATCGGGATAATAAAAACTTAAAATATAAAAACAGAAACAAAAGTTTTAGATTAAAACAATTATATTATATTAAATTCACAATAATTATTTTCTAAATACATATATTGATTTATCTCTTTTCTATAAAATCTAAAATCTAACTAAACTATTCTTTCTACAATTTTTTTTTAATTTTGATTAATTTTTTTCTGCATCTTATTTAGCAATAGCAGTATATATTATAATATAGTAACATATAACACTAATTGTAAATATGCATATTGTTATTCAATGTAGTATATGTGATATAGATATGATATATATGAACAACTGAACTTCGTTATGTAACCTGATTAATACACTAATATTCATAAATATATATAGTCCTTCGCTTTACTCTAGACTAATTATTATTAGCAATATTAATCATAATAGAATATTATAAAATTTATTATAAAAATAATTTTTAATTATTACAATTTTATAATTTACTAAGAAATTTTAGTAGTAAAATGATTCAATTAGTTCATAAATAAGAAAAATTTAAAAAATTATTATAATAAATATTTTAAAAACTTAATATTTAAATTGAAGTATTTAAAAAATTTCTTAATAAATTTAATTTTTCTATTATTATATTATTAAAATTAAATTTTATATTTTATTAAAAAAAATTAATACTTTTTTTTTATTTGTAAGCAATTTATCTGTTTTACAATTTATAGAATAAGAATTTTTTAATAAAATTTAATTTTTATTATATTTTATTAATATTATTAGATTAAATATAATAAGATTTTAATTTGATCAAAAAATTCTCAATATTTGATTTTTTTAGTAATTTTTATATAAATATAAATAATAATATTTTTTTTTTAAAAAAATTTTTAAATAAAAAAAAAAGAATAAATGTATTTAGAATAACTATTATATATAATAATTTACTAAAAAAGCTAATAAAATTTGATATTTGATATTTATATTATAAATAAAAAAACTATTGTATTAGTTTTTCTAATAAGTTATTATATGTAACAATTACTACAATTAGATTTATCTATAAATAAATATATATTATTATTGTAAAATTCTTCAATTCAAATTAATTATATTTCTTAAGTCTTTATTTAAAGTTACTAATTGCAGTTAAGATATTAGAATTTATTTAACACTTAACTTTACCAAAATTTACATACTAAATTTAAACAAATCTGTCAAATATGAAGACTTAAAAGAAGAGATTTTAATTAAAGAATTCAGATGACAAATTCAATTACAAATAATATATAAGGATTATATCAGATTATATAAAGACATAAAGAGGCAGAAAGGTATAAATTTTAATTGATTTCTTTATAATATTGAAACTTATATTCACAAAAAAGTTATTTTATAATATAAGTAAAAAGTTTATTTATTTATAAAAAGTTTCTTTTGTTATAGCTAACTATTTACTATGTTATAAACTATTTAATTTAACAAATAAAATATAAATAAACTAAAAATAATAAAAATATATAATATAATAAAAATAAAAATATAAGGTAAAATATCAAGAATAAGTATAACATTAAATATTTTTAAACTTTGTTTAATTTATGAAATTAAGATTATCATTAGTATTTCAAAGATTAGCAGAATTACATAGATCTTTTGTTAAAAATGTTATCATAATTAAAAAAAATGATGCAATTAAGTTACAACTCAATTAAAATTTGAAAATAATTATAAAAATCATCTTTATCTTCTGTATTTTCAAAATTCATAGAATTTTCAGTATTTTCAGAATTTAGATCAAGAGATTATTATACTATATCATCTACATAATTTTATTATTATTAGTCAATTGCTCTGTTAACAATATTTAAAATAATATAAAAATATAATAAATACTTTAATATTAATATATTATTTGTCTAAAGCATAACTGAAGATATTTTTAGTTAGACACATTTTGATATAATATCTATTTGTCTGCAATTATAATCAACCAATAAATGTATTATTATATTGTTACATAATCTGATTTCAAATATAAATGTCTTAAATTAAATAATAAAAATTTAAAAGTTATTTTTTATAATACATTTAAGTATTATAAATTAGTATTTCAGATATTACAATAATTTCTGTTACTTAGTTAATAATAAATTAATAAATTTAATTTATATATAAATTTATATTTTATTATAAATAAGTTTATAAATTTACATTTTTATTATTAAAAAAACTTATTATAACAATTTTTTTTTTAATTAATTTGATTTAAATTTTAAAATAAATAATATTAAAAAAATTAATTAGATTTATTTTACTTTATAAATTATTATTATTATAATTTAAAATATAAAATAAATATATATCTAGATAACTTTAAAAAAAAATAAATAATTTTATTATTTATTAATCTTAATTTGAATTGCTAATTGCATTTTTTTAATTTTATTAATAAAATTATTATGCTTATATACAGGGTTGGGAAATTAATACAGTTAGTACACATAATAATTAATATAAAATTTAGTACAGTATAGTACAAGTATAAGGTCAAAATTTGCCTAGTACATACAAATTTCCTAATCCTGCTTATATATTTATGAAAATTCTATGTAACTAAATATAATATGAATTTTGAAATTATTTACAATCATTTTTTAATAATATTTATTAAATATTTTATATTTTAATAATAATATTAAATTTTAATTTATAATGAATATGATTTAGCAAATCATTTATATAAAATAAATAAATATAAATGTTGTGCAAATAATTTATAATTGGAAACATATTCATTTAATCTTAAATTTATGTTATACAAAATTTATCAAATTTCGATTTTTTTAAATTATGTTAAAAAACTAAAATATAATGTTGTACGAAATAATCATTTTTTTTTTTTTTTAGGAGTTTCAGATTAGCAAATTTGGTAATTTATTATTTGGGAGAGAAATAACGGAATTTGATTGGTTAATTCAAATACATTGTCACGTAATTTCTCCACCTCGCTAATTACAATAAAATTAAATTTTACAAAAAAATACTTAATAGATTTTCAAATAATGTAATATGTAATAATAATTATCTTTTTTTTTGTATGTATGTAAGAATTTGGGGGAGATTTAGCGGGATAAAAAATTTTTAATAAAAATAGCTTTGACTATTTTAAATTTTTAAAGAAGGAACAAATATAAACCGATAGACTAAATACTCTACAACAACTAATTTGACCAATATATATATAAAAATAAACCAAAACCAAATAACAGAAGTTGACTACGCAATAGCTAAAAACCTAAAGTCTTGTTCATTCATTTTGTCAGTAATAATGGCTTTCCCAAAATTCCCATTAAATTGAAATTACTTACTAAAAGTAGAGCGGTTTATACATATACTATTCATAGCAAAAGCTTTGATGTTATGATGGAAAAATGTGAATTGTGTGGAAATATATCTAGTAAATAAAGACGAACAAGTTGATTACAAAATAAAAGTATATATTTCAAATATAATAAGATGAAAAATGTAATAAAATATAACAAATTACAAAAAAAAAAAAAAAGGAATAAAATAAAATAAAATTAATCATTCATCATAAGTCTACAGAACCAAGCATTTGCGAGGTTTCTTAGTGACCGGTGGTTCCAAAGCCGCAACAATTGCTTCATCAAAAACATTCTTCAAACCCTTTTGCGTCAAAGCTGAGCATTCAACATATTTGACCGCTCCAATTTCTTTAGCAAGTCTTTCCCCTGCTTCTACTGTTACTGGTCTCATTTTTTGTCTCGATAATTTTTCAACTACACTAGGATCATCACGCAAATCTATTTGCGTACCTACAATCAAACATGGAACTCCAGGGCAATGATGGTGAACTTCGGGGAACCACTTCTCTTTAACGTTTTCAAAGGAAGCTGGTGAGGTTACAGAAAAACAAACAAGAAAAACATCCGTTTGGGGGTAAGATAAGGGTCGAAGCCGGTCATAATCTTCTTGACCTGTTTATCCGACATTATAAATATAGATATATATATTTTTGTAAAAATTAACAAGCGCAATTAATAATTAATAACGAACTGAAATATTTCCGGACATAAATCCACAACAATTTAAACAGTTTTCATCAATTTAACGCACCAGCTGTGTCAAACAGCCCCAATGTATATGGCTCATCACCGATCATAACTGTTACCGCATAATTATCGAAAACCTTGCCGAGAAAGAAAAAATTCTTAATAAGTTTTTATTCAGAAATAAAAAGAAATTGAATAATAAGAATTAGTTTAGAATAAAAACTTACTGTAGGGACATATTCAGAAGGAAATTTGTTGGTTGTATATGAGATTAGAAGACACGTCTATCATCAAAATTATTTCCCATTAATATATTGTAAGCGAATTATATAAAATAAATGAGAAGTCAATCAATATATAAAATAAATGTGAATTTTGAAGGGAAAAGGGTGACGTTTCTTCCTTTTCTGACCAAATTGCTCCTTATTGTAAGTCAACCATAATAAAACTATATCAATTCAAATGCACCACTTGACCGAGCATCGAGTAAAAGAAAGCCAATCTAGTTTTATGGTCAAATATTCCTATCCTTGGTTGTCAGTTGGTAATTTATGAACCAGTTGATCGACAATGAGGAAATGAAATATTTTCAGCCACCTAGAATGGCTATGCTTTCTCTAAAGAGAGCATGATAAAAAAATAAAGGGACTTTACCTTGCCAACAGCACCATCACCAACGACTACACACTTTATTGTTTGCATAATTATAGAAATTATAAGAGTAAAGAACTTAAGAGAGACAAAAAGGAGCCTGCAATGGGAAAGAAGATAAAAAAGGAAGAAAGGTGAAGAAAGGGAAAAAGGTGTTGAAAACTATGGATGGGAGGACTTTTGTGAAATAAAAAAAAAAAAAAAAAAGTTTAATGAGGGGTCTGAGCTATCTAATAAAAGTGGTAGAGTGGTCCTTTCCAATGCTTATAATTTTATTACATATTACATCTGCGACAAAAAAACCGATTTAGCTTTACTGTGGCCAGCTGGTTTCACGAAATTTTCAACTTGGCCGATTTACATTAAACTCGTTTTATTCTAATTCTTAAAAAAGTCTTCTACGACGGATCTACCGGGGCATTTTTACCCTTGTTAATTCGTACCTTCACGTGATTCGAATGTTCATTTTTTTGAAGTTCTTAATCTAAGGAATTTTTTTTTTTATTCAAAAGTAAACTTAATTAATTTTACAATGTTTCATCTCTTTTCTTTTTTTTTTTTTGTTTTTGAGAAAGTTTAGAAGCGTAAATTTAATATATATATATATATATATTGGAAAATGTAATGAGTCTAAGGAAGTCAAAAAAGGTATGGAAAATTTTTAATACAAAGTAACGAGATAAAAAAAATATTTACAAAATAGAATTTAGAGAAAAAATGGCAAGAATTTTTTTTTTTTTCGCATATTTCCCAATAGGTACATGTGTAGATCAATAGTTTTAATTATAATGTTTCAAAATTGAAATAACTCGAAAAAAAATATAAAAATAAAATTTGATGAATAAACGGAAATAAATCAACAACAAAATCCGAAAACGATGAATGAAATATGAATAAATCTGAAAATAAATTTTGAGTTAATTGAAAATGCCTTATAATACTGTCAAAAACGGAATCTCTTAAACTCTTCCCTACTTGCTTTTTGTTATGTTTGCCACAGAAAAATTGCGATAAAAAATAAATACTAAATTAATATCAATAAATATTCAAGGGCACTTCGGTACTATGCTTAAATATCGTTTGCTTGATATTACAATATTCGACGTAACGAAAGTAAATACCAAATATAATCGCATTCTCGTCCTTTTATTCCAATGAAAAATCGTCACGATAATAATAATAAAAAAGGTTCCATAATAATCCGTTATCAAATAACACTATATAAATAATAATAAATAATTATTATTATTTAATATATAAACGAATATAAATTATCAATAATAAAATATTAAATTTCTAGAAATACCTATAATAAATAAAATAATATAAGGGTATCACCCGTCTGGAAACCATTTTGCTGTTACTTCGTTCATAATGTATTTACAACTTTCTGGATCCCAGCGTTCAAAAAAACAACCCACTAATTCGGTTGTTACAGGTCCAAGTGCTTTAGCTAATTCCCAATCTGCTTCATCTCCTATATGGTCCCCATACACGTTTGACGGCACCATCCTTGATAACCGTTCTGAATCATATGGTTCCATAACTAAAGTCTTTTGACCACAATATAAAAACGAGCCTCGATGTGTAAGTACTTCATAAAAAGGTTCATTTCGTTGTGACTCAACATCCTATATAGAAAAAATTAGAGCTTAAAATAATTAGTTATATAAAGGAAATTTATGATATATTTTACAAAACGAAAAATTTGAAATTATATACCGTCCATACGAATTTAGCCACATTTGCTGCAATATCAGCATTATAAGCTGGATAAAAATAACCAAAGTATATATATTTCTCATTTTTCAAAAAAAAAAAAAAAAAAAAAAATTTCGAATAAAATATTCATCATAAACTTACTTCTATCCCAGCGACATATTACACCTAAACTATGAAATTTTTTGAAACAAACTACATCACCTACAAAAAATTTAGGATCCTTTTTTCCCAACTGACCACGAATTGATTGACCTGAAGCGTAATCCCAGTCAACACGATCATCCTCTTCCAAGCTTTCAACTTCAAACTTCACATTTTCAATTAATCTTTGCCACATCCCTTCCTCGGCCACCGTTCCTGTACCTATATACTTTTCAATTTCTGATATTGCTACCTTTCCTAATTCGTAATCCTCCGGATATCTATATCTCGCCGCGACAAAAGACCACCAAAATTTCATAAGTCGATACATATCTCCAAGCGAACATTCTAAAATTTCTGGTGATCTAATAAAATGTAATTGTAAGGCTGTGCCATAAATGACATCTCGATTATAGCCTCTAATCGCGGTTAGGCTTTGCCAATAGTCCTGCAAAAATAATCTGAATAACCTTTCCTGTGGAATGTATTTATATTCCGGCGTATATGCACCATAATATTTTGAACTATGTTTACCAAACTGTTCAACTGTGAGTACACCCGTTTCTGAATGTTTCTGAAAATCAATATGATATATATCGTGGTCCATATCTTCTTCGTCTTCCTCTATATGATCATGATCCATCAATAAAGGGTTTGACGGGTAAAAATCCTTATACCGAACAAAATGATACCTTCGAAACGTAAATTTTTCTCGATCGGAAACAACATCCACATTCCTTATTCCAACCTTTCCAGCTAATGCTTCAAATAAAACGGTCATGACACAAGCTTTGCTTTGTTTTGTCTCCAAAAGTGGGGTAACCAAATACAAGAATTTGGTTTCTATATCAAGGACGGAAGCGGTAGATGGATATTTTTCTCCAAAAAATTCGGCCAAACGTTTAAATTTTTCTAATTGAGATTGAGGCAGATCTTTTTGACAAATTTCATTAAATTCAGCGGCCAATTCGTCAATTTCATGAATAATATCCACAACGTCAATACGTTCGTTATAAAATGAAGCCATTAATGCAAAACCTTCTAAATTAGTGATATTCAAATCAAGGTTACGCCATGCTTTCCATTTCTCGATGACACTGCTTCGACGAATAAATTGAAGAGCTCTCTTTGCAAAATAACAATGAGTGAGAGTTGTCTAAAGGAATTTGCAAATTACGCGTAAGTAATTTTTTATATGTATTTTTTTTTTTTTTTTTTGCGCATCCAAAAATGTCGAAAAAATTTTGATACCTCATTTGGGTTATCCATAACCCATAATAACATATCACGACAATTATCTCCTAATTGTCTCAATTTTTTCATGTTTGACAAGTAGAATGGTCCACCGGCACTTAATTCATCTAAAATTTCGAATGCCCACCGATCGGTTGCCATTCGTGCGAGGAAAACTTGTCTCCACCCATCCGCTTTCTTGGGTTTTGACTTCCAATATTTCCACCTAAACGAGTTACAATTATAAAAAAAGTTTGGCACATGATAAATGGAAAGAAAAAAAAAACCATTTTGTTTTAGGTTTTGGTAAAATCCGACGATTTACTTGAGTAAAAAAAAAACAACCTTTGATCACAAAATTTTTTCCATAAAGATTCAACGTAGCAGGCGTTTCTCCACAACCTTGAAACTTGTGCGCAACGTGCAACGTCTTCTGCCTCTAAATGGGGCAGAATATGTTTAAGGCAAAGGGTTGGGACTTGAGTTCGTGCCATGCTCGTTTATTGACATTAAATATCTAAAAGAAAATGTATAAAGAACATCTTATAAAGCATTTGATATGTTGCACAATAATTGGGGCAAAGCACATCAGATATTATGCAATCAGTATGTAGTATCGTTTTACTACATTTACAGTTGCATTATAGTTGCATTCCAACTTTTACTATTAACTACCATAAACTTACTTTAATCAAAGAAACTCTTTTTTTTTTTTTATTCTTTTTAAGTTCTTGTGAAATTTTCCTGATATGATCGGATAGATATAAAACCCGAAATTATTATGAAAAATGCGCGGGGGGGGGGGGGGGAATGATAATTTTTTGTATTCAAATAAAAGATGAAATAACCTGTTGCATTTCATATCTTGTAATCTTTTTTAATCCACAATTAGAATAACAAAAAAATGAAAATGAAAACTTGTTGTTATACATGAAATTCTGACAAATACTATATTAAGACTTTCGCGTTACCTCAATTGATAAAATACTTGTATTTTCATAAAAATCATTTTGGAAGGAAACGTCACATCCTTCTTCTCACGTTATCGTGATGTACAATGCATACATAATATGCATTTTATAATCATATGCTTCCCGATCGGACCCATCTCACTTATAACTAAAACATGTTTTCTTCTTTGACCTCACGTTTATCATTATCGACACGATGTCTTCCAATTGTCACTGGAAGATTATTTGTACGTCAGTTTGCTTCTGCTTCTGCAGAAACCGTAAACTTTATATTGTCAGATAATTCTTTTAAAGCTTACAAATGTGATCCACCTTCACTCGATATCGATGTTACAAAAGACGAAATAGTCCAATTGTATAAGCAAATGGTTGTAATGCGTAGAATGGAAACCGCTGCTGACGCACTGTACAAGTCAAAAATGATTAGAGGTTTTTGTCATTTATGTACCGGTCAAGTAAGTTGGGAAATATGAGTGGAATTGTAAATTGATTCCAATTGATCAATGATTATTTTTCTTTAAAGGAAGCAGTTTCCGTAGGTATGGAATCTGCAATTACGAAAGATGATGCTATTATCACCGCGTACCGGTGTCACGGATTCACTTTTATTCGTGGTGGAACCGTTCACTCTATTTTAGCAGAGCTTATGGGTAATTATATTTACGATTACGTTTTATCGTTATCAGATTTGAAGTATAATTTTATGAGACGAATTTGTTCCATCATAAGGTCGTTCGACTGGTATTTCAAAAGGAAAGGGTGGTTCTATGCATATGTTCTCAAAAAATTTCTTTGGAGGTAACGGCATTGTCGGTGCTCAGGTATTGATCTCATTTTCTGTATATAATTGATAACTAGCTCAAAATGAATAATTACGTTTTTTTTGGTTTAGGTTCCTGTTGGAACGGGTATAGCATTTACGCAAAAATATTTGGATAAAAAGAATGCCACATTTATCTTGTATGGAGATGGAGCAGCAAATCAAGGACAAGTATTTGAAGCTTACAACATGGCTAAATTATGGGATTTACCAGCGATATTTGTTTGTGAGAATAATTTCTATGGAATGGGAACATCGGCAAGTAGAAGTTCAGCTAATACACAATATTATACTAGAGGTCAATATATCCCAGGTCTTCAAGTCAATGGGATGGATATTCTAGCTGTGAAGAAAGCATGTTCATGGGCAAAAAATTGGGTAATTAATGAGCAAGGTCCTATTGTATTGGAAATGGTCACATATCGTTATGGTGGTCATTCAATGTCTGATCCAGGTACAAGTTATCGTACACGTGAAGAAATTCAACACATGAGAAGTACGAATGATCCTATTACAGGTTTAAGACAAAGAATTTTGGATTATAGTATTTGGACTGAAGCTGAGATGAAGGTAAAAAAAAAAATAAAACAAAAATTTTTGATTTCTGTGTAATATAACTAAAATTAATTTTTTTTGGACAATTTTAGCAATTTGATAAAGAAGCAAGAGCAGAAGTTGAAGAAGCGGTAAATAAAGCACAAAATGATACGCAGCCCGATCCTGATCAATTATTTACAGATGTCTATGCTAAAGGAACTGAACCTCCAACTATTCGTGGTCGCGAACGCGAAGAATTTGCTGTTATGTATCAATAAATTTGTTGAGGTTAATAGAAAATGGATTTACATAAAGAAATCCAAAAAAAAAAAAAAAAAAAAAAAAAATCTATTTAATTCAGCCTAATTAATGACAATTTTTTTTCAAAAAAATTTCATGAAAAACTTTTGTTGAAAATTGATTAGTTTGGATTGTCAATTCCTTTTTTTTTTTTTTTTTTTTTATTCTCTTAATTTCCTATAACATATAAACTGCGACTCTTTGTATTCCAAGAATATCTTTTGTTTTGATTTTTACATAGCATAGCAAAAAAAAAATCAAATTAATGTGTAATATTAATTATATTATTTAAATGATTATTTTATTGATATTAATTGTACAACTTCATACAAAAATTCGTGCAATCATACCGGTTCTCTTACTAACATATTTAAGTTTTTTATGAATTACTGTCACTTCCACCTTCACCATTTTTATTGGGTGTATTAACAAATTGTATATTATAAGAACCAGTTTTTTCATCTTGTACTGTTTGAAAATTATCTATTGATAAACCAATTTTTCCTAAAAGAGTATTGCCAAAACCCTTAAGTTTACTCATCATTTCATCGTATTCTATTTTTTGTAACTCTTTTATTTTTGGAGGTAATCTTTTAATTGCATTAGATATTAAATTACGATTATCTAAAACTACTCGTTCAGATTTGTGAATTGGATCTGATGAAAGTTTTTCGTAGTCTTACAAGGAATAAAAAAAAAGAGCACAGTTAATAAATTTGAAAATGGCAAACAATTGAAAAATTTAAAGACACAACCATAATACCTTCGAGTGCAGAATTTGTTGAAGAGTATGTGGCTATTTTTTCATTTGCTTGTGCTCGACGAAACAATACTTTTGTGTATGTTGGATCTTCTTCAAGTGCTATTTTGTTTCATAAAGACATAAGTATATATTAACAAAGAAACATGCGTATATTACAAGCATACCTTTTGTACACGTCTCTACTGCCTCCTTTTGTTTATTCTATGAAAAAATAATAACGGATTAATTAATAGGAATGATTAAATTATATTATACAAATCTCCATTCAATTAATCTTACCAATTTAACCTGACAAGCTCCTATATTTCCCAAGTAAACGGCTCTTTCTTTCTTTTTTTCAACAGGACAATTATCTAGTGCTTTTTCATATTGTTCAATTGCTTCTTCATATTTTTGTTCAATAAATAAATTATTTCCGATTGATTTATGTTTTTCAGCTGTTTTCAGCAATTCGGCAATTTCTTCAGATGTAAATTTCGGTGTATTATCTACTTCTTTAGTTTCTCCATTTTCTTGGCAAATTGTTATAGATTCTTTTGTAGTTGTGGTTTCTAAAATTGAAATATTAGAGTGGCAGAAAGGTGAATTAAGGTTGATTTTGATAATTAATTACCTTGATAATCTTGAGATTCAAATTTGGACATTCTGAAATAAATTAAAAAAAAAAGTTATCAAAAAATCAAAAACTATTTTTATGCAAGCTTTGTGATACAAATTTATTGTATGATTGATTTTTTTTTTTTTTTTTTTTAAAAAAAAACAACTCATTTTCGAAGTTTGAACTTTCTTCCAAAGAAAGTTAAACATTTCATGTTTATTTTGATATTACAATATGCCTGTTCCATTTGAAGCTCTTATTCCACTTGGTATGATATTATAAAGTAATGTAACTATTTTTTTTGACAAGCAATTTAATATAATACTTTATTCGTTGCGTGTTAGGTCTTATTACGGCCATGTTCACAATAACTGGATCATTGTTGAACTTATCTAGAAGGCATAGCAATGACGGAAAGGTGCGATTTTTTTTAAATGAATTCAAAACTTAGTTTCGAATATTCTAATTAATTTTTTTAATCTATAGCCTCCAAGGTTCAGTATGGATAAATGGGATAAACAAATGATGGAGCGTGACAAAAGGTTAACGGGAAGTCCAAGTCGTCAATCAGTTCGTATTCTTTTATTTATTTATTTATTTTTACTTTTAGAATCAAATCAGAATTCCTTTTATTTATTAAAGCTTTTTTATTTTATCAAGGCAGAACCAGTTGCACCACAAGGATTTGCTACGAGTAGTATTTATTATTTGACAAACAAGACACTTTGATTTTACAATTTTTCCCTTAAAAAAGGTTTTTTTTTTTTTTTTTTTTTTTTTTTTTTTTTTTTTTAATAAAATTAATGTTAAAAAAAAATTATTTGGTTACTATAGAAAATGAATTTCTTTTTTTATGTTTTTAACCTTTTGATTATTTATATAATAAAGTTATTTAAAGTAACTAATAATTTTTAATAATCAAAGGTTAATTAAAATTTAATAAAATTTAAATATTTAAAGTTTTTTTTTTTTTTTGTATTAGTAAATTTATGATATTATTATTGAATTAAAATTAAATATCTTTCATATTAAGTAATAATATTTTTAAAAGTTTTATTATAAATTTAAATATTAATAATAAAATTAATTTTTATAATAATAATATTAGTAATAAGAATATAAATATAATAAGAATTAAGATTTTAAATAAGTTATTTATTTTTGTTTATTATATTTATATAATTATAAAAAATAAAATAAAATATATTATATTAAAAATTTTTATTAATACAAATTTTAATTATAAATACTATTTTTTAATTTTAAGTTTAATATATTTTTAATAAATATGTTGTAATTATCAAAATCAAAATTTTACAAATCTTAAGAGTTCAATAGTTTTAATAAGAGCTGTACATACTTAATGTATTTTTACCATTCACTATTAAGAGGATTTATTTTATAAATTAATTTTATTTGTTTAAGAATCATATTTATCTTCTTCATTATAATTCCTTATAATTTAATTTCTCTTTTTAGTTCTTTATTATTCTTCTTTAATATTTATCTTCTATTTTCAATAATTATTTTTCTTTTTTATAAATCATTTTTCTTTTATTTTAAAATTATTAATATTTTATTTCATTATTTATTTACTTTCTTTTATAAAATATTTTCTTTTAATTTTAATATTTTATTTCACTATTTTAGCTTTAACTTTTTTTAATTTTGTTTTTTAATTATTCCATTTCTTTGAAATTAAGTTTAGACTTTCTGTTTGATTATTTATTATTGTTATCAATTATATATTATATATTATAATCATCATTAATTATATATTATATATTATTGTCATTATTATTTATATATCTATATTATTATCATCATTAATTATATATTATTTGTTATTATTATTATTAATTATATATTATATGTTATTATCATCATTTTTTATATTATTAATGTGTAATCTTTTCAAATTATAACTGTTAAATACGATGTTAAAGAGTTGACTCTTTTATAGTTTATGTAGTAAATTAATAGTTAATCAGTCAAGTGAATAAATAATTCTATTATATATCACAAAGTATATTTAAATTTAATAAGTTAATAATACAATTATATACTATAAATTTATGATAAATTGAATTATAGATACCTGCTAAAACCTTCTTAAAATAATTTTATCATACCCTTTTCTATATTTTTAATATAGTTTTGACAGTTTCAGTTTTCGTCATATTGAAAGGGTTTCATCGTATTCCTTATTATAATTTTAATATAGTTTTATCTAAGTTTTGACTATTATTAAGAAGTTTTATTTCTCATCATTAAATTGAATGTAAAGTTACTTGTTTAAATTCATTTTAGATTTAGTAAAATATCTAAAATATAGTTTTGCTAAATTTTTACTAAAGTTTTGATATAGTTTTATATTTTTATAAGCTTTAATATAGTTTTTCATAGATTTTAATAAAGTTTTAATATAATTTCGCTAAATTTTACTTTTTTTCATTTAGATGACTTGCAAAACCTCTAAGTTTCATCTAGTAATCTTAATTGAATGTATAATCTAATTATATATTACAGGATATATTTAAGTTTATATTAAGTTAAATAAATAATTCTATTATACTACTAAATATATTTCATTAATTAGTCAGAATTAAATATTAATTATATTACTTAAAAGAATATCACATAAAAATTTTTAGTAAATCAAAAACAAAAGATAAAAAATAATAAATAAAAAAATAAAAAAAAGAAGAAAAATAATTAAAATAATATACATTAGAGTTAGAGATTACATATAACTTTTGAGATTAATTAATTGAATTGTATCTAATAATTAATAGTATCCTTTTCTATAATAAATTTAGTTCTCTATAAATATTTAATATTAATAAATATCAATTATTTAATATATTTAATATGTTTAACATTTTTAACATTACATTTAGTATTATGCTATATTTACAGTTTATACAATTATTATTCTGTAATAATATATATAATTATTTATTTATAAAGCATATATATATTTTTTTATTTTATTTCAATAATTCATATTATAATATTATTTAAATTTATTACTTATTATTTAATAGATTTACTAAAAAATAGGATAAATCTATTATTTTTTTTAAATATTAAATTTAACATAATTTCTTTTTATTATTATAATTTTATAATATACATTAATTTACATTAAATTATCAGATTTATAATTATGTGATTTATTGTGTTTATAATAAATTTGTGATATTTCCCTTATAAACATAAAAATAATAAAAAAAAATATATATGTAATTAAAAAAAAATGTATAGAAATAAGCTATCTAAAACTCAATGTGAAAGAATTATTAGTATATATCTAAGTAATATCAAGCAAAAAATTATTTTAACTCAGCTTGATATTCTTACTAGTACTATTAATGATATTATAAAATATAAGTTTTGTAATACTTAAAAAGTATTCTAATTATCTTAAAATATTTAATCAATATAATAAACAGATTTTATATATATTATTTGAAGTTATTAATTCATTTCTTTTAATAATGTAATAAGCAGATTAAACTTTAGCTTTAATATCACATTATATAATAATACTTTCATGATGTAGGTCTTAGTAGATATTACTCATAAGAAATTCCTTTTAAGTAAAATTAGTAAAAAGATAATTAAAATAAAGTAGAAAAAAATAAAACTAAGGTAATTAATAAAAAAAGATAATATGATTTAATAAGTTCAAATTTGCTTTTTTTAAATCAAATTAAAGAATAAGTATTTAAAAAAGTTTTAAAGAAGCTTATAATAAAATTGTATTATTAAATTTAATAATAGTTCAATAATATTTTGGGTTATTTTAGTTAGCTTAGAGTTAGATTTTTGGTTATAGTAAAAGAAAATATAGATTCAAATACATATATCAATATTCTTACTAATCACTTTATAATATAAGTTAGTAACTATATTAATTCTATTTTTTAGTAAGATAGAACTACTATGTCATATATTAAATTATAGCATTTGGTGAATGAAAACATATAATATTTTAATCTTAGATTGAGTAACACAAAGTCCTGATATTAATCTGATTGAAAACCTGTGGAATTATTTAGATTAGTGGATTAAAAAAAGATTTTATCTAAATATAAATAGGAATTAATAAATATAATTCAAGAAAGATGAAAAAAAATTAGTATAAAAATATTAATTTTAAACTTATCTATACAGTAATTAAAGTTAAAGGCAGATACACTAAATATTAGTCTATTAATTCTAAATTTTATTTTTAATACATATAAAAAATCTTATAACTTAATATAGTTTAATATATAAATAAATGATTTATAAATTTTTTTTTAAATTTTAATACTTAGATACTAAGAATTTATTAATAATTATATGCATATTATTTAGTTACTTCTAATGCTAATTATAAATTCTTAAAATTATAGCTAGATTTAAAATCTAATTAGAATTTGTATATTTAATATTAATCTGAAGATTACTACTAGATTATATATAACTTTAAAATCTTTAAAATTTACAAAACTACTGTCAAATTTGAATAGAAAGATCGTTTTCAATTATAGAGATTGTCATATCTCTATTCTTATCAATACTAATCAGAATCATTATGATTTTTATCTATTATTAAAGTATTTTAATATATAATCAGTAAGGCTTAGATAAAATCATCTTATAAAATTTTGTTCTAAAAGTTACTATCTATATAAAACTTAGAAAAATAGGTGATTATTATACCTATATCATCAAATTTATTTAAAGAATTAAATTTGATCTCTATTTTAAGTAACAGTTTAATTAAATAGTATTATAATAATATAATGTAATCTATTATTACTATAATGCAAAACCTCTATAATAGAAATTTAAAAAATATTAATAAAATTTAATCTACTAATTGGATTTTAATTAAATAAAAAAAATTGATTTATATTTATAAAAATGAATTGATTTATAAAAAAAAGTTTTTTTAATTTTATAAATTATATAAGTATCATATAATATATATATGAGCCAATTAGAAACTAAAATTAAAAATTATATAAAATAATTTATTTTATTTATTTTATT